GATTATCGAGATGAATCACTCCAATCATTCATTAATAAAACTGAAGAAATTAAGTTAGAAAGAAATCAGGTTTTAATGAACAAATATAATTTTAAAAAGTTTAAAACAAACAAAAGAAGTTTAAAGAATTAATTCAAAGGGATTTCTGTCTGAACCTGTTCCGAGGGCAGGGCTCAGGTGACCTCAGTCTCTGACTGCAGAATATTAATATTCTGATTTGTCGTTAGGGTTTCTCCAGGATCTACGCAACCAGCCAGTGGACAGGTGAGCCACACAGACACATCACTCACCTGCAAGTGGGCGGGGCCCCAACACATTGTAGGCAGACAGTTAGTTTGACATGAAGTGACAGCTTGGTTTGAACTCTGCAGGAGATTCTCTGGAGTCAGACGAGACGTGTTTCTGAACGGGGTGAGTCCTGACCCGTTGGCTGCGTGTTTTCAGGTGATTTGATGACGTGTTTACCTGTGTGCTGTTTACCTGTTGCAGTCCTACGACTACATGAGGGACTACCACCACAACGTTGGGCCTCCTGCTCCTTGGCAGACCATGGTACGACTCACCTGTTGATCCTCATGGGTCAGAAATTAGAACTCACCTGTTAGGTGGATGTAGGGGCGGGGTCAGGTTCTGCCTCTGCTACTCTCCTGTGGTGGTAGTATTGGTAGTATTGGTAGTATTAGATATAATTTGTGTTCATTAGATGAAATCGTGACACAACCATAATTGTATAGAATGGATTAAAATGTGAAGAGAATGGAAACCATACAACCCAGGTCTGGTTGAGCGCAGCTTCATTGCTTGGGCTGAAGCAATAGTGGAAACCAGATTTCCAGTCCCTTTCACACAGCTGGCTTCAGTGCCTGGTGCGCCCCCTGCAGGCCTACGGCTGCATCTCAGGCCACTCGAACAAACAATGCCTTCCCTAATGAATTAATAACGGTTTTTCAATGTCTTGCTGATGTTTTGGGCAAGCAGTTAAACTATTTTAACCAGGAGTTAACAACAGTTAAACTATTTTAACCAGGAGTTAACAACAGTTAAACTATTTTAACCAGGAGTTAACAACAGTTAAACTATTTTAACCAGGAGTTAACAACAGTTAAACTATTTTAACCAGGAGTTAACAACAGTTAAACTATTTTAACCAGGAGTTATAAACAAACTATTTTAACCAGGAGTTAACAACAGTTAAACTATTTTAATCAGGAGTTAACAACAGTTAAACTATTTTAACCAGGAGTTATAAACAAACTATTTAAACCAGGAGTTAACAACAGTTAAACTATTTTAACCAGGAGTTAACAACAGTTAAACTATTTAACCAGGAGTTATAAACAAACTATTTTAACCAGGAGTTAACAACAGTTAAAATATTTTAACCAGGAGTTAACAACAGTTAAACTATTTTAACCAGGAGTTAACAACAGTTAAACTATTTTAACCAGGAGTTAACAACAGTTAAACTATTTTAACCAGGAGTTAACAACAGTTAAACAATGGATTATAAAAGAAAAAGGAAGACTAATAAAAAAAGGTGTAGTACTTTTAGCATCAGTATCTAACTGATAAATTCCTTCAGTAGTATAAGTGAAATATTAAAGTACTGTAAAATAAAAAGGTTAAATGAAGTGACCTCATCTGTAACCAATCAGAGGTGTGTGTTTGGCTCGTCGATCAGCTGATTGGCGTAACGATGATGTCATGTTTGTGTCAACAGGCGCCATACCCCAATGTGGAGCAGCAGCCCCCCCACC